GAACAGTTCCCACCTGACTGTTTTAACCTCTGGTAAACATTTCGATAAACTCCAGTGGTTTCCACCATTGATTAAGGCTTCCTTTGTACTCTGTGTTGGCATCCAATCCCAGGAAATGTTGAACTGTAGACACTTTGTTTCCTTCACCCTGCAGTCATTTTTGAAGGAAACGTCTTGATTTATGTAAAGGAAACACAAACACAAGGCCGTGGCTCACAGCTTATTGAGTTTTCAGAAAACATTAAACGTTAAACATCTTTCTTCCGTAGTTGTAGACCTGCTTTGTGAATGTGAGCATAGGTTTTCTCTGGAGCACTCACGGATGCCTTACACATCTCGCACGGGATATTTTAACTGTAAGACAGCAAGTTTCCCACATTCTAGTTGTTAATGCACCACTTGACCTTTTCCAACATCAGTATTGATGTCTTTAAAGGAACGCATGCTCAAACAAAATTAGCACTGGCTGACATAAACTGGAAAAAACTGCTGTGAGGTTTCTGTTCTGGATTGCTTTAAAAATTCTCTGCAGGTTTCTCAGGTAATTTTATCCTGATTGTCCTATTTTGTAAACATGTTTGACTCTGTTGTGCTGTGTTGTGTTTTCATCCTTCCAGAGATGGTGACGCATTGAGCTGACTGGTCTAACATCAGGCTTGTCTCGTGTCTTCGTGAATGTGCATGTTCAGCTATAGTAAATGTGTTTTAATAGCTGAAAGAACCTTGAAAAACTCTCCAAACGCTGCTCATCACACTCTCCTGTTCCTCACTGAGGACTGTTGTCGTAGTTCATCTGTTGTAAATGTATGTGTTCTAAATATTGGGGGAGTGTGTCCCCAGCGCTCCCGCCTGAAATCTACACCATGTCGTGACTCAAGAGACTGTGCAGCTGCTGACTGAGATCACAGCGCTGTGTGTGTTCTTGGTGTTTGGGAGTAAAAAAGGCCCGTGGCTGAAGAACCAGCCCAGTTAAAGGAATTTACTGAGAGACGTTATAGTCTTATAGAAGTCATCTCTTTCCTTCAGTCTTACTCGGGGATGAATGTACAATATTGTGCAAAATTCTCAACCCACCCCTCGTTTCTTTATATTTTACCCCCTTTAAACCCACAGCTCTAATGGGATGTGTTTTTCTTGCCATTGAAAATATGCAGTTGTAGACTAATTATTGCCTCTTTGGGTTTGATGTGTCAGGCGTTCTTTGGTCATTTTCTTTTTTTACTGAATTCACAAAAGTCTCCATCTGATAATTTAAACAACCTGTTTCCTCTAAATCCTCTTAAAGTGATGTTTGGTCAATATGATGAAGGTCAGTGGGTTTTTCCCCATAAATGTTGTCAGGTTAGACTTGAAGTCTTTCAGTCGATTGCTGTGAGTGTGTGTGTGTGTGTGTGTGTGTGTGTGTGTGTGTGTGTGTGTGTGTGTGTGTGTGTGTGTCGACACTGTAGCATTATTTCAGTACAGGTAAACTGAAAAGTTGTGAAGTGCAGTAGTTCAAAGTACTAACAATGAGAGGTGAAAGTAGTTCTTCACCTTACTCACTAACATGTGATATGACAAGCAGTTAAAGTTAGTACCTAAAACTGGTCAGATCTTTGCAAACACTAATAAAGAATGAAAGCCACTGTGAAATCTCCATCCATCTTCTTCCTCCTATGCAGAGCAGGGTCGCAGAGAAGCCCAGACCTCCCTCTCCCCACACACCTCCTCCGGCTTGTCGGGGAACACCACGGCGTTCCCGGCCAGTCGAGAAATATCATCTCTGCAGCGCTACCACTACATTGGACACTGATGTGTCACTCCATACACATCAGTTGTCCAACTGAGTGGACATGTAGTAAACTCTTTGAAAAGTACATGTTTAAAAAAATGAAGTTTTAAAATCATAATTCATACACGACACGTTTAAACTCCTCCAACTGAAAAAAAAAACACCAGGAAAGAGGTGTGAGGATGCTTAGAATTTGAAACTGTGATCCTGAAAACATTCACCGCTACAGGGTTTATTTTGTATTTTATTAAATATGCTTTTAAAACAGAGAATTTGAGATTATTTTATCACTAGAAGAAAAGAAGTTTTTCTGCTTTACAAATGTGGCAGTTGGCTCAATCCCTCTGCTGTTCGTCTTCTTCTCCTGTCTCAGCTCACAACAAGCTCCCAATGACAGTCGTGCATTACCACTGTAATCCAAATCAGTCCACGTCTGTCAACCAAGAGCAGAGCCTGAGCAGCAGGGAGCCCCTGCAGATCTGGGTGGAGAGCCTCTGTGCTTGTCCTGTGCCGTGGGAGACCTGGGTGTAGGCACCATCTTCCTCATCATCCTCTCCTTCAGTGCAGCTGCATACTTCCTCCTTGGTAATGGTTTGAGTCCAATAAGTAATCCAAACCTAACAACTTATAAAATGTTGTTCCATTTTATCATCATGTTCACTCCTCAGCAGGAGCATGAAAGTGTTGCTTGGATTCCAAACAACATCATTTAGTGATGATGTTTATTGTAGATCAGATGTCACAAAGTCCACGACTGTTCAAGATGAAAGTGATACAAAGCAAATAGTGAGACTGTATACAAGTAACAGAGTCCAAACATCAGGTCGTGCTCATTTAATTTTCATTTAATGTGCAAAGTTTTGTTTAAAAAAAGTTTATAGTTTCTTCCCATCTTCTGTCGGCGAGAGGGGAACGTAGATGCTCATATAAACAAGTTTCCAGTAATGGCATCAGTTGATGGACCGGTCATGCAACACAGAGCACCTGTATAAAAAAGCCCAAAGCCGACTGTACTTCCTCAGGAGGCTGAGGTCTTTTAACATCTGCAGGAAGCTCCTGAGGATGTTTTACCAGTCGGTGGTTGCTGGAGTACTTTTCTATGCTGTGGTGTGCTGGGGGAGCAGCACAGCAAAGAAGGACTCATCCAGGCTGGAGAAACTGATCAGGAGGGCTGGCTCTGTGGTCGGCATGAAGCTGGACACTCTGGTGACAGTGGCAGAGAAAAGGACATTAAAGAAACTGATGGACATTATGGACAATGCTGGGCATCCTCTGCACACGGCCATAAACAATCAGAAGAGTCTGTTCAGTGACAGGTTGCTTCTCCCAAAGACAAGAACTAACAGACTTAAAAACTCCTTTGTCCCACACGCCATCAAACTGTTTAACTCCTCTCTGGAGGGGAGAGGGAGGGGAGACAGGAGGACAAAGGAGGGGGGAACAACTAAGCTGTAGTGCCTCTTCACCTCACTGTGCAATACCTTGTGCAATACTTTTGTAAATAGTCAACAGTGCAATAGACTCAATACTTGAAATGTGCAATTCACTTGTATTTTTATTTTTATTCCTATTTATTCTATTTATCCCCTTTGTATATTTTATTTATATTGTCTCTGTATTTATATATATGTGTGTGTGTATAACTCTGTAACTTCTGTCGGTGCTGTGCTTTTTTGGAAGTCGAATTTCCCAGAGGAACCCACCCGAGGGATTAATAAAGTTCTATCTTATCTTATCTTATCTTATGTAGAAGTAATCCCTGTGAGCCCAAAGCTCAGGCTCTCGTCTGCTCTAAATCCTTGTTTCTGCTTGTGTGTCAGTGAGCGTCGCTCCCAGCTGTTCTTCTTCCTGCTGACAGGCTCCTGTGCACTGAGACCCTTTCGCAGCAGCAGTGGTGCCCAGATCTCTCCAGAGCATGTGGTGCATGATCTGCTACCTGTTTGCCGACAGGAGGCCAGCAAGAAGACGCGACACAGATGCGACAGATTGCACGCAGGACGCCGAACACTGCAGCTCGCCTCGGCCTGGCTCTATTCTACAGTGTGCTTAAAGCACAATGAGAAGAATCACACACCTCTTACAGAACAAGTCAGACCCTACAGCTGATTTGTTGAATGCTTAATAAAAGACACTTTAACACTAACAACCAGCAGTGACGATAGCAATAACATACTGTCACCTTAAAAGGAGAACTTTAACTTGAGCCAAGAAGTTTTTCTTTGTACAATTAACAAATCAAAGGAAAAAGAAATGTAACTCCAGCTCATTCATTTTCCACTGCTGCTGGAATAATTAGGACTTTAAACTGAGAATATTCAGTCAATCAAGAGCTTTGATGTGAAAATGCATGTTTGGGTTGCCTTTTTTATTGAGCCACGAGATGGCAGTAATTTACAGGATGGATGCAAACAGTCATGAGAGAAACTTGGCAGACGCTGTTTTAGCTGTAATGAAAGAAAGGACTGACGGTACGTGAGTAATGAATGATCGAACACTGCTCATCCTGCTTGTCCTGACAGAAGGCTGCTGCTTTAGAGAGGAGAGTGACTGAAAAACAGGCTTTTTCATTGTTTTCTGACACATCACTGAGTCCCTATTGACTCTCATGTTAAAAGACTAAAGTACAGCAATAACCTGTAACTTGGCCACTTGGGTTTATAAAGCCTTAAAGTTAGAACAGTGACTACAATAACCACCAGGTGCACCAACAGCAGCAGCTGTAGCTGATAGCGGACTGCCTGTCAGCAGACAACCATGGACTGTGTACTTTGGATCATTTGTTTCCAGAAGGACCGCTGACGCAGAAAAATCACACATAGTTATTATAAATACAAGTAAAACAAATGAGTTCTTTGTTTTATATACTAAGAAACAAACGTCTTTAACGAGACAAAATAATACACAAATTCTTCTTTCTATTCATTGATGGCTTCTCAGTTATTACAACACAAAACACATAATCAGGTAAAGTGAATAATCATGAATCCTAAATCAGTCCAACATCCGTGTGGATGGAAGAAAAGCTGAATGTGGAGCATAACAAAATAAAATGTACAAAGTCATTGACAAACCTATGTAGCTGTAGTTACAGGTGAACACACCTGAGTAACACGGCCTTCAAACGGACTGTTTGCAGTCTGGAAGTGCTTGATCAGCTCGTCACAGGACTTCAGTGAACTCTAATAAACTCTTTGGTTGTTTGTTAGCCGTGTCCTGTTCTCTTCATCCTCACGTTTTTCTAGTTTGTCGCTACAGCTGTCATTTGTCCAGGTTTTATTTTGAAACAACACTCCTGCTCCACTAACAGTATATGTTGGCATGTCAGTTGTCCACAGAGATCTCATTAGTTTGACATTTTCCCTGCAGTGCATAAACACCGTCGTCCCTCAGAGGTCACCCAGCTCTCTGAGCAGAGCGTTGATATATATCTGAGGAGAAACTACACCACCTCATTAGGTGTGTTTGTGTGCGCTGGTCATGTGGTGATTCTTTTGGGGTTAAACTGACTCAGAAGGTTGTGATCAGCTGGTGATGTGCTGTGGACTGCTGAGTCCTGGATTAGGCTCGTCTTCACTGGTGTGTGACACGTGTGAGATGGTTAGTTTGACCTCACGTTCTTCACCGCTGGTCTCCTCTGATAAATTCCTGCAAGGAAACACAATGAATATGTCCCAGTTTGAACCAGTATGATAAGTGTGCGTGGTACATAGTGTATAGTATATGTTTTTGTGCGTATGCAGGAGTACCTTAGCTGTTCCTACGAGATGTTTTCGACTATTTTTAAAAGCTAACTAATGTTTTGTTTTCTAGTTTGTCACTGATCTTCACCACATCAGGAATAAAACGTCTCTAGCTAGGATGTAATGGTACAATAATTCCATCGTTCCTTTCAGAAGTTTTTGTTTTTTACTGATGATCCTTTGAGAAATGTAATAAAAACACTCACAGCAGCAGGGGGCAGCATGTTACCAGCGACTGGGTTGAGATATTCTGTCCTCAAGAACAAGAATATAAATAAGAAGAAACTGAAATAAATAAGAAGATGTTCTTAATGGTTAAATTCTGCGTACACCCTCTTGTGATACAGTTACATGTTATATAAGCACAGCTCTGTCGTGGTCCAATATCAGCTCCTATCTCCTGAACACACTGATGGGAATAATATGCAGTCATTCTGCTTACACCCGGCTGTGTGGGATTACTGCTCTTGGCTCTGAGAAACAAGACAATGTTGTACATGCTTGATGAACACCCAGTTCCAGTGAATCCCAGGGTCTCCCCCTGTCACTGCACTGATATTTTACAGAGTTTCTTTTTATAAAACATCCTGTAACTTTATCCTTTTTCCTTCTTTGTTGCATGGAATAATGCCATGGATATAACAAATCCCATTTAGGCCCAGCGGACATGACTTTCCATGCACTGCAGTTGCTCTAATTGCTTGGGAAAATAGTTTTTGTCTCCCCACCCTCGTGCTGACATCACTTCTGAGACCTGTTTGGGAAAGGAGGGTGAAAACTACAAATGTTTATCCCAAACAAAGCTGAAAGTGATGCAGATTCATCGTTTCCTATGACTTAGAACAACCTCTGTGCTCATACCTCATCTCCCGTCCGTCTGTGTCCTGCTTCTCATCTTCACACAGTGATGACGGCAGATATAGATGGAGCTCTGAAACCTTTGTGGAAGCAGGATGTGTGTGTCGAGCCGGCCTCTCGCTGTCGCAGGGGGTTCTCGAGGTCTCTGTGCAGAGTATGTGTTTCAAAGAGTTTATCACTCTAAGACACGCAGCTTTGAACTTAGACACATCTACACTGCAGATGTCATTTACCGCTTGATCTGGGTGATAGATTGGGCATGACTACATCTGAACAACTGTGTCTGCTTATCACTAGAGGATATCCAAAAGGCAATTACCCAAACTGCAGCAAAAACATCCATTAATCCAAATACAGCAAAGCCAATAGAAAAATAGAGAAAGAATGCAAAACAGAGACTTTCATGTCAGTTGACAATGAAATGAGATTATTTGCTAAAGTCACCACAAACATCTGTTTCTCTCCAAAGCCAGAAGAAGAATTCATATACGCATGTTGTCTGGATATGATTATAGAGATTTACAGGCAGATGGAAGCTGTTGTGTTTGTGTGCATGTGTGTTGATCAAAAGCTCTTTTAAGTGGTTAGCAGTGTGAAAAAACAGCAGCTTTAGCCATCATTGCTAAACGTACACATGAATACCAGATAGTTCTCAATAATAAAGACGATATTGTGTTTGTTTGATCAAATCCCCAAATCACATCTGGTTTATTTTCATCAATCAAACTGTAGAATTTCTCAAAGCTGAACATCAAAGACGTTTCTTAAATACCTATACATGAATCTGAATGACATCTACGTCTTACTTCAAAGAGCATTTACTGGGGTCAGGGTTGAGTTTGCTTAAAAATCATAGTTTTAAAACCATGAGGTTACATTTCAAAGGATTCATTTTGACATTTTCGTTTAAGAACTTTTATAATTGATTGATCCAAATGGTAACATTGTTATGAACAGAGGGACGTTAACTGAAGCCTAAGCCTGTGGGATGGATGAATTTGAAGAGGCTGTGATTCTGTCTTGATTGGTATCAATAAGACAGAATCAGTCTGCTGTTAATGTGGGACTGAATGGGCTCAAGCTGTGAATGAGATGTTTCTAATAATGTTTTTAATGATATGGAAAAAAACTGTAAACATATCTTATTTTTATTTCTGCAAACACAGAACTACTTAAATTCAGTTCAGCATAAGTTGAAACAGAACTTTTTAGCATCAATAGCGAGGCAGTTGATGCAGGACAGCGATCGCCTTCTGACTGTGGTGGTCACTGCACTGAAATACTGAATATGAACACTTGAATGTATCACACATTTTTCCTGGTTGCAATCCTATTTGTACTTTAGTGTGACTGAACTATAGGACTGCGCTTTGTAATATGTCACATGACCAAATGATACAAACTCCCCTAGAACTTAATGGGAATTTAATGTGTTTTGTTTGAAACAACAGTGAAATCATAGAAAGAAGAAATAACTGTAATAAAAGTCATTTTAAATAGTGTGATGTTAAGCTGTGCATGCATGTCTGCATTTAAAAGGAAAGTACACACAAATAAGACTGCAAGTCATTTCAAGCAGTGTGTAACTTCCAAGCAATTCAGTGGAAAAACAACATTTTCCCATCTTTATATTCACTGTGCTTTTAGTGCCAATGACTATGTTGTACATGTGGCTTAACCTTGGCTTTCTCTATTTGGATTATGCATTGTATTGGTTTGCATCACAGATGTTTAATTAGTCAGTTGTCCTTTTGTACTAAAAACATAAGAACTGATTCCACTTTTCATATTAGAAAAATAAATAAACAGCAGCAAATACTGCAGGACATAGGCCCATGTTATCTTATAATGATGGAGCCAAGGCAAAATGAAAGAAATAATAACTTTTCAAAAATATTTATATTCAAACCAAAGTGTAAGTGAGAATAAATAGAGTTGTGTGGAGCATTTTTCATCGTTTTGGCCTGTTAAACAAACATATTTGTGGATCTAGTGTAGAGTAATCACTAGAATTAAACAAATGTAACATGTAATGAAGGCCGTGTGCCTGCTGTGGAGTGAAAACTGAAAACACATTGTGAACGTCATTAGCACTGGACGTGCTTTTGGATCCACTCACCTGTTCTTTCATCGACTGGATCTTTGCTTTGGCCCACAGTGGGAGCTCCACTTTGTGAGGTCGTCTCAGGTCTGCTCCCAGTTTTGGACCTTGATGCTGGTTTTGCTCTGCTTTCCAGCCTCAGCCTGATGCTGCTGAGCAGTTTCTCATCTCCTCCCCCTCTGCTCTGTGGGATCACCCTTCCACTGCTGGGCCTCTGCAGGAGGGGGCAGCAGTACCCCTGCACTGTCACAGAAAATTGGAAAATTAATCTTCATCATATTATATACAATATTTAGCAAAACAAATGGGAATAACTCCATACATCACAAAACAAGACAGGTTTTATTCTCCTGACATTTACACTTGTCTTTTCCTTTGGGTTATGGTTAGTTATCAATGTGCCACTGCCAAAGAACCTTTATAGGTATGTTAAGGAAAAGGGAGACCCTGGAGATGGCGGCATCATATTCCACATTGAGATAAATATCTTGTGAGTGCCTTCTTAAGTGGAAGCTCAAACTTTTATAAAGTAAACTAACGTGAAAAGAAAGAAAACTTTACTGTTAATCACAACTGAAGGTGTGCTGTGGTATCAGGCAGCAACAATGTTGCCAGTTCAGTCTTGGATCACATTTGTTCCTTGAAGTCAAATAAAACACTGTGATAAAACATTACAACATGTGACATATGGAAAACCACTTCACAGGAATATTTATCTTTCCACTGGAACTGGTCTGTGAAACACTGACTGCAATCACAGCATGTTGTCAAGACTGGACCAAGGTCCTGCACCATGAGTAAAATAAAATAAAAACAAAAAAACAATATAAATAATTTACAAAGAAAAGGGAATAAAAATAAAAATTGAGTAAAAATATAGTAACTAATATAATATATAAATGATAGTCAATAATAACAAAATAATAGAAGTGAAAGATAAGCACTGCAGAAAACAACACGTTACGTTAAAGCTAGTCTGAAGCTGAACAACCTCATGAAAAGAAGTATGTTTTCAGTTGGGAACTGAAGACTGATAGTGAGGTAGAGGAGCTAATCTGAAGAGGGAGAAGCTTCCAGAGTTTTGGGGCTGTGACTGAGAATGTACAAGCCAAGCAGGAATTTATAATTACTGGAAGGTACTGAGAAATAAAGTTAGCAGCATGGGACGCAGAACTGCTAGATACCAGGGAGTGAGGCCATGTGAGCACTCACAATATTTTAAAACTGATACTACACACCTTGGAGGCCCAAACGCTCAGAGTCTCTGGACGAAAGCCACGTGCCAGTAGACGTCCTCAGTCTTGGTGGAAGGAGGTGGAGTCCTGTACCCGCTTGAAAGGATTTGGACTGAACGTTCCTTCTTTGCTCACTGTGGTCATTCATGCTTTCACCTCTATCACAGTGCTGCTGTCATTCATCTGTCAGCAAACATGCAAAGACAGACAGGACACAGGCAGTGAGCATCAAATGTACTTTCACTAGGTTTGTTTTTGAACGCTATTACACTAAGCACTTTTATGGGCCTTGCAATTCTCATGAAATTAAGGAGTTACATGAAAAAAATACTTCTAAGAATCTGAACTTAGTAGGAGCTGAAACATATGTATATATCTCTATATAATATATAGAGATATATATATAAAAAATCTGCATTCTCAGAGTAAAACCATGGTTTACATGTTACAACATAATGTGTCAACCACATGGCCTGAATATTTCTTACTCTGCATACAGGAAGTCTGTAGGCGGTGCACAGGGCCTGGGACATCTGTACCACATTAATTACATTTTTTTAATTATTCATCTAAAGTCTCAGCGATGCAAAAAGTCATAAATAATAAAAACCCCCATTTTATTTTGGTTTCCTGTGCACGCTAAACAACTCGTTTTTGTGTTTGCTTCTTCATTTGGTGGTGAGTACTAGTATAAAATCGAGACTGCAACATTACTGCTGCATCTGCACATTATTTTCAAATAAACTGAATCTTTTGGTAACAAAGCATTTGTGTAAAATTCCCACAAAACTGTACAAATTTCCAAAATCAGCCAAGATGACATGTTGATATATGAAATTCAACAGTCTGTGAACCAAAATATGAAATGTATTATAACACATGACTGACAACACAACAGCAAATTCAGCAGTTTTTATGCTCACTAAAGGATCTAAATGGAAAATACGAATAGATACTGATTTATTTTCTAATGGCTGATTATCAGTTTAGTTACTCTTATGCTTCTTTTAAAGAATGCAAAGCCTTTTACTCCTTCACTAATTCACAGTGTTGCTTTTTGTCATGATATCCATTTGCTTGCATATGGATATATGCGCCTGGTATGTTTTCTTAGACTGAAGAAAGAATTAAAATTAAAACCTTTAGCTAGCGTGGTAGTTAATCAGAGGTCTGTTCTCCTAGAGTCAACCTACATCCATTCAAACCTCCTGACTGAGAGGAGCGAAAACAAAAATACACTCAGGAGTGTGCATCACCTCAGGGTCAACCCACAACCTCTGGGATAAAAATAATTCTAAACAGGGAGGGCTGGATGGATGTATCTGTCTTTGTTTGGCTGTTTGTTGGATGCCGCCTCCACCACGATGCCGCCCTGGGCAACTGCCCATGTCGCCCGTATCAGAAACAGCTACTGGCTCTGGCCATTGTGGTTCTCTGTGTTATTGCACGGTCTTTACCTTCCAATATAAACCACCTTTAGGCAACAGTTGTGATTTGGCACTGCATAAATCACAATGAATTGAACTGAATTAAACTGAGTCTTTAAATCACATTTGGACTGTTCTTGTAATTTAAAATCCAATGTGCTCTTTAGTTCATTTTGTGCATGTTTGTTTGTTTCAGATCAGCTTGCCACACTTAATGCCTGATGTCAAAGCAATGGACAAGACAAGTGAAAGACCGTGCAGGGATGGTGGAGTGGGTGAAAACAAGCGTTAGGGATGATTTGTGGCAGCAAAAGCAGCAGAAGTGAAAGAAAAAGGAATGAAAGTAAGCTTTACAAGGCTGCAGTGACAGGAGAGAGCTGGAGGCTGCAGATTTAAAGATGTCAAGGTCAAGTTAGAGAGGTAAGGTTGAGATGTTTTGGACATGTGCAGAAGAGGGATGGAGGATAAAGTAGACAATACTCCATATACATGTTGAATATGGAGCAGCTAGGCAGGAGGAAAAGAGGAAGACCTCAGCAAAGGTTCATAAATGAAGGAGGACATTCAGAGAGTTGGTGTGACAGAGGAGGATGCCAGGCTTAGATGGAAGAAGCCGAGACGAAGACATAAACCTTCAGTACTTTCTGTCCTCTTTGTCATGTTGTTCAGTGTGTAACCCTTCTGTTCCTGTATCTAACTCAGTATGGTCCTAAGAGAAATAAAATATTACTAATCACAACCACATGTAACAGTTGGGTGCCCCTCCCTCACCCTAGGTCATGCAGACGGCCTCTTCCTGTTCTCCCTCCCCACTTTTCCCAGGTGCTTGCTAATAGCAGATGATCTCTTTAATAATGTGGGGTCTTTATCTCGCAAAATAAAGAATCTTGAAAAGACTGCTGCTGTGAACTGACACTATCTAGATAACCCTGCGTTTTGTGGCCAGCAGCAGACTGATTAGAGAATAACCATTTGTATAGTATAAGAAGACCTGACAGACGTTTGTTTCTAACCTGGGACAATCCTGGCCAGCTGTTCACGCAGGTTTTACAAGCCTGCTTCAACAGCCTCATGGATTTTAAAATAAAACAGACGGCATGCACCTCTGGAACGGATTTGGCCCTTTGGTTTCAGTCACTTGGACTTGCGGGGTTATCTACAGTGTTTTAACAAGAAGCATGTGTGTGTGGTTAGAGTTACAGTTCATTAGACTGTCTTTCAGCAACTTTCTAACTATGATAAAAGTTCTGCTCTTACCTGCTCTAGTTCAAGTCTTTCAGCACGTCTCCCTGAGGAACCACATAGTGCAGTGTTGAATGAAATCCCATTTTGTAATGTTCCTCTGAGTATGGATCCACACCCAAACGCTGATTTTAGGAGCAGGCGTGTTACTGTAGTCCTACTCCACTGTTGCTAAGGAGCCGAGCGCTGCTCTCTGGGTCTGTTTGTGGTTGGTAGGGGTGCTGGAGAGGTGGGGTGACGTGTTTTTCTTCTGTCATAGTTACAAGCCTTGGTTTGTATGTTACAATGGCATTATAGTCGATATGACTGCTTTCTGGTTACCATGTTGAAGGTCTTAAGCTGAACAATGGGCTGAAAACAGCTGATGGAGTTTATATGATCACGCGCAGCATGTTCATGATTTGACCCTGTGGTGTTTTTCCTCCTTTCCACTGGGTTAATTGGTGGGAACAGTGCTGCTGGAACATTGAGAGGCCTGTTCGTCCTGCGCCAACAGAGCTGTGGCTCAAGCTGTTAAAGCGTGAAAATAAAATCCAAACCAAGTGTTGTAAACTATCCCAAAGTACAAGGGTTTATGGGTAACATAGACATAACAAAAATCTGAAATGATGCTCATTATTATCTGATGTGAACACCTTGAATCAGGACTGTCTGAAATCGCTGCAGGATACCAACATTATTCCACGTTAGAGCTTGTAACGACACATTTACAAATTAAATGAACCTTTTGTGCTTCTCCTTATTTTCTGGAGTAAACTCTTACATACATACTGTTGTGAATATTCATATTGTGGCGTGTTGGGGGAGCAGCTAGCTCTCTCCCATCATGCCTTGGGACACGTGCTGCTGTTTAGATGTTCTTGGTTTATTGTTTATGATTACGTTACTTTTAATTATTTTTAATTATTAACTATTACTGTGCATAATTATTAGGCAACTTAACAAAAAACAAATATATACCCATTTCAATCATTTATTTTTACCAGTCACACCAATATAACATCTCCACATTCACAAATATACATTTCTGACATTCAAAAACAAAACAAAAACAAATCAGCGACCAATATAGCCACCTTTCTTTGCAAGGACACTCAAAAGCCTGCCATCCATGGATTCTGTCAGTGTTTTGATCTGCTCACCATCAACATTGCGTGCAGCAGCAACCACAGCCTCCCAGACACTGTTCAGAGAGGTGTACTGTTTTCCCTCCTTGTAAATCTCACATTTGATGATGGACCACAGGTTCTCAATGGGGTTCAGATCAGGTGAACAAGGAGGCCATGTCATTCGTTTTTCTCCTTTTATACCCTTTCTTGCAGCCACGCTGTGGAGTACTTGGACGCGTGTGATGGAGCATTGTCCTGCATGAAAATCATGTTTTTCTTGAAGGATGCAGACTTCTTCCTGTACCACTGCTTGAAGAAGGTGTCTTCCAGAAACTGGCAGTAGGACTGGGAGTTGAGCTTGACTCCATCCTCAACCCGAAAAGGCCCCACAAGCTCATCTTTGATGATACCAGCCCAAACCAGTACTCCACCTCCACCTTGCTGGCGTCTGAGTCGGACTGGAGCTCTCTGCCCTTTACCAATCCAGCCACGGGCCCATCCATCTGGCCCATCAAGACTCACTCTCATTTCATCAGTCCATAAAACCTTAGAAAAACCAGTCTTGAGATATTTCTTGGCCCAGTCTTGACGTTTCAGCTTGTGTGTCTTGTTCAGTGGTGGTCGTCTTTCAGCCTTTCTTACCTTGGCCATGTCTCTGAGTATTGCACACCTTGTGCTTTTGGGCACTCCAGTGATGTTGCAGCTCTGAAATATGGCCAAACTGGTGGCAAGTGGCATCTTGGCAGCTGCACGCTTGACTTTTCTCAGTTCATGGGCAGTTATTTTGCCCCTTGGTTTTTCCACACGCTTCTTGCGACCCTGTTGACTATTTTGAATGAAACGCTTGATTGTTCGATGATCACGCTTCAGAAGCTTTGCAATTTTGAGACTGCTGCATCCCTCTGCAAGATATCTCACTATTTTTGACTTTTCTGAGCCTGTCGAGTCCTTCTTTTGACCCATTTTGCCAAAGGAAAGGACGTTGCCTAATAATTATGCACACCTGATATAGGGTGTTGATGTCATTAGACCACACCCCTTCTCATTACAGAGATGCACATCACCTAATATACTTAATTGGTAGTAGGCTTTCGAGCCTATACAGCTTGGAGTAAGACAACGTGCATGAAGAGGATGATGTGGACAAAATACTCATTTGCCTAATAATTCTGCACTCCCTGTAAAGTAAACGTAGGCAGAGAGACACATATCCTCCAGTATGTGGTTATGGTTGTTTTGGGAGTGTCTACTTTTCTCTGTAGTTTAGAACTTATATTTTAGTTTTACTTGAAGTATTTTTTTTGTCTGTGAGCTGTTTTTACTGCAGCAAAAAGGTAAAACAGCAGTTGGAGATTAATGGACGACCAAAATTACTGTGATCATGCGAAATAAAGATGAAATCTTATTGCCTTTGGTTGCTGGAAGATGGGGAGAAGACCAGGTGGGCAGCTACTCACAGGCAGGTAACATCTTCAGAGCAACTTTGGTCAATCAAGATGGCAATAAAATGACGGTTGGCTATCTGTCAGGGTTCCTGGGTCGGTGACCCAGTATTTTCAGTTCACGTTCACTGTTTATCTTCTGCCTGTTCCACTTCCTGTTTTATTGTGTTAGCCTTGGTCCATGTGCATTATGTTCCGTCCTCTTCCCGTTTATCATTAGTTCATTATGTTCAGCTGTGTACTCACCAGGTTCTAATCTCTCATCACTCAGCCTGTGTATTTATGTCCCTCAGTTCAACCAGTCCAATGTCGTGTCATTGATGTTATTGTGATGTTGTCTCTCCGTCTGTATGTTCCGTTAGTCAGTCAGTGCTTCAGTCAGTCGTCCAGCCAACCATTTTCTCCCTTTGTTCTGTTCATCCACTCCTTATAATAAATCGTCACCTACCTGCGAGTCCTGCGTTTGGGTTCCTTCTTCCTCGCCTCCACCCAACCGCTGACACTATCACTCATATTAGCATGGGACTGAGCTGACAGTTACAGTAATACAGCAATTAACTTTGATAAACTGGCAAAAACCTCAAATGTGCCACTGTCACATACACAGAAATCCACAGTAACTATTTACATTAAGCATCCAGCAAGAACCTCATAGATTTGAAATTCAGAAATCCTCCACAAATAGTGACGTACTTTCTCTGCAAGATAGTGATTTATGTGCAAAACATCACCAAAATGTGAGCAGCTGCTGAGCATTTGAGCCATTATTTGAGAAATTTTGCTAATCTGTCTGAGAGACTAGCACATGTTTTGCTAGTCACCAAGCGGTTGCTTCCTTTTACTCTAATATGAGTGAAGCACTCAGACACAATATTAAAACCACTGAGAGCGAATGATACAGATCAACTTGTTGAAATGCTCTGCTTGGAAACATTGTTTCCTAGCAATCATGTGGACACATATCACACACCTAGAAAGAACAAACAAACCTTCCTCTATGGAAACAGCACTCCCTGAAATCCCCCCCTGCAGGATAATGCACCACAAAACCTACTCAGAGTTGGCTTGTACAAAAGAGACTATGGCATCCAAATGCATGCAGAGGTCTTGTGTTAATCCTGTAGTGACTCACAGTTCTTTTGATAGCATGAGGTGGACCTACACAAGATTATACCAAAGATTCAGAGACTTTATCTAGAGCACCCTTTTATGTGAGCACTGCAGAGACAAGAGGAAGTGCATGCAAAGATGCCTGGCTGGGTAGTGAGCTGTGTTATGGTAAGGTGGCACATGCTTTAAAATGCCTCATTGACAGGATTTCAAGCAGGATTTCATTTTTATTATTTTATTTTATAATGGTGCAATCAGAGATGTCCTGCAGGCAGCAGCATGAGGCAGTATACCCCTAGCTGTTATCAGCTAAGATAATGATTCAAAAGGTAAGTTACTAAAACTAAAGTCATGCGTAAGAAGTCAGCTCGACATTACTCAGTGGATTTAAGGTGCTTTTATCACCACATCATACTGATTTAACCTGAACAGAGTGCAGGTGGAGAAGGAATTCATAAAGTCTGCACTGCATCTGTCTTCACTTTCACCTTCGCTTGGGACCTGATAGAGCAGAGGAGAGTTTGTGGCCCTCAGGAGCGCATGTTACTTTTCAGAATCAGAGGCGCGAATAGCAGCAGGAAGATTGTTCCAGAGTCTCGAGGCTGCCGGGGCAAAAGCACGGTCACCTCTGGTCTTTACCGGGATCCAGGCTGCACTAACAGTAATTGTCCTGATGATCTTAGGGCTCTCCCAGGGGTATATGGACTAAGGAGTTCAGTGAGGTAGCACGGCGCAGTATTGTTTATGATTTTAAAGGTAAGCAACAAAATTTAAACTCAATTCGGTATTTGACAGGGAGGCAGTGCAGGTCAGCAAGGACTGGGCTGATAGAGGCAAACCTTGTGGTTCCAGTCAGACAGTGTGCCACAGTGTTGTGGACAAGCTGCGATCTATAAGAAGGGCGGAGTGGAGACCAAAGTAAAGGGAATTACAGTAGTCTAATCTAGAGGTCACAAAAACATGGATACGTTTCTCAAGGTCCTTGTGTGGTATGTAGTGCTTGGCCTTGGAGATTTAATGCAGTTGGTAGAAACTAGATTTAACTACAGAGGATACTTGCTTGTCAAACTTAAAGGAGCTGTCAAAGAGAACACCTAAGTGCCAGAAAGAAAGGCGGCAAGGGGTCCAAGAGTGTCAGCAAATTGGCCCCGTGAAGCATGGTTGTCGAACATCACAATTTCTACTCGTTCAATATAAGAGAGTTATCGGAGAGCCAATCTTTGACCTCTCTCAAGCACTCTAGTAGACAGTGCAATGACAACGAAATGTCATTAGTCATCCGAAAGTAAATCTGAATATCATCAGCATAAAAGTGATAAGAGATATTACACTTCTCAAAGATAGAGCCTAAGGGCAGCATACACAATGAAAGCAACATAGGGCCCAACACAGATCCCTGGGGGACACCACACCAGAGGGGAGCAACAGAGGAAGAGCAGCCACCGATGGTGACGGGGTAAGACCTATCCAATAGAT